AGAGAGAGAGAGAGAGAGAGAGAGAGAGAGAGAGAGAGAGAGAGAGAGAGAGAGAGAGAGAGAGAGAGAGAGAGAGAGAGAGGTCTGTGGGTGGTTGGCATGCACACAGGGCACATGATGTGAATGATGAGGAGTTTGAACTTTGAATGCACGTGAATGCCATGTTATGTAGAGTGGAAGAAAAGCCCGTGTTCAGGAGATGATGTGCGGGTGTAGTGTGTGTTATGTTGGTGCTTTTTTCACCTCTCCGTTCATTCTTGAGAACCAAGAAGAGAAAATTTTGGATTATTGTACGTGCGCAGTGATGTGTTTCGGCATGTGGCTTACACTGTGGGTATGCTATGATGCTGTTGCGAAGAGGCATAAAGCAAACAAAAGGAAGGGGGAGACTATGTTATCGGGCGTATTCAGGGCCAGGTGGTTATATTACTCAGATTGGAGTCCATCTTCTGCCCATTGATCTATGCACACAGATGACTGCACAAGGTCTTAGCACTGGACATCATCTTCTTCTCCTCCTCTAGGAACTTCTCTTGTTTCTTTGCCTGTTGTAAAGCTTCCCACAGTTGCCGTGTGTTTTGCGCCACCTGACATTTCTCTTTGTCTATGTTGGCTATGCGTTTGTCTAGTGGATAAGAGGCTCCGAGTTTCTCAGCGAGGGAGTTTACAGGACTGTCCAAACTAGTTTTGGTGATGTCCCCTATTAGTTTACCCAACGTCTCTTGCACCTCCTCATGAGTTTGGGCCACCTTACCTTCCCTGTCTCCACTTGTCCCTTCTCCAATTTCATCCTTAGTTGTCTCCTTCGCATCATCCGTTACATTTTCGTTGACTGAGTGCTGCACAGTTGGGCCGGAGACCATAGAGAAGGAAGAAGAAGAATCAGTAGAGGGGTCCGAGAACCACAGACACATTGATCCTAAGAAACATAAGATGGTCCTCCATGACGGAAGATCGGTACGAGAACAGTCAAAGGTTTGAGTGCCGTTCCGCTTGCTCCTATCCTTCCTTGATGCAACATTAACTTCGACTCTGGGTACTACGATCTCTCTTCTAATTTGACTACTGTGTCACCCAGAGCGGCGAACAGCTGTCTTTAGAGACAGGCCATATGTCTTCAGGAATTCTTTAACGTCACAGACAAGACAACATGGGCAACCATGTAACATCCAACCAGCTCTTTACCTGACTAAGTGGCCTGCAGCACAGGGGTCTGGGTCCTGCACGTGTTAAGATCCTCTGCAAACGAGCACATACGCACATCCTCTACTGTCTCCGTGAGGAGTTAACTGCATCCTGCTATGCCAGGTGACAGGCGAATAGCACCCCCCACTCTGACCAAAGCAGTTATTGCAGCTTGAGATTGTTCGTACGGGTCGACCTACCTATGTACGACAGGATCATGTTGGAAGGCCAAAGTGCAAATCGGGAATTGTTTAGCATCGCAACCAGGACGACATGGGCGGTCCAACAAGACCCTAAAAACATTCATCAACAGCCTGGGTGATGAGACTAAGTGATGCATGCACTGACTGAACTGTCGGCAATGGAAGTCCGAAGATCACCAATATGAGGAAGAGATGCAAATTCATGCAATGTAACACAGTGGAAGACTCAAATTAGTTGCAATGACAATGCAGCAGAAATGACAATGTGACTCAAATCCAAGCTCGCAGCCAGCGGGAGGGATCCAAACATAGAAGAGCCCTCCTGCTGTAATCATACAATTACGAAATATGGGAAGGGAGATGGAAGGAAGAAGAAAGAAGGAGACCCAAATGTATGGCAGGGCTAGATAGTAACAGTCTCCCTCCACCTCGATCTCCCTCGAACCTCCTGGACGCCCGAAACAATAAATCTCAGATCTCGGGTCAGGGAGCCTAGCTCCCGAAGTACCAACTTCAAGTTTCCTCTCTCTCTCTCTCTCTCTCTCTCTCTCTCTCTCTCTCTCTCTCTCTCTCTCTCTCTCTCAAGAGGAAGAGGAAGAAAAAGAAGATATGGAGGATACGAAGAAGACATTTGGAAATCTCCTCTCTCTTTGTCACTCACTCTCTCATGAAGATCATTCTGACCGGTGAAAGGCAGAGCCTTGAGCTGCTGATGCACTGCAGGTGTCCCGAAGAAGAGGGCCGGCCATGGTCAGTGGCAGACCTCCAGGTTATGGTGCCAGGTGATTGGAATCCACCATCACCTCATCTCTCCGTACGTCGACAGTGCTACTCTACTCTAAGGCTGAGCTCCTCCAACCTCTACTAGCGCTGGCTGCTCCAACTTGTTCAGCCTGGTGGCCTATGAATGAAGTGAGAAGCAGCACCTACAAACTACTAGGTCGGTTGTCCTGACTACTACTGGGCCAGCCACAAACCAGGCCGCCCTCCCATCTGTGCCGTCCGGTTTCACAACTGTGGTCCAGGTGAGAGGCTGTGTGACCAAGCTAAGGCCCAGGCCTGAAAACATGTCACCTGGGTCCCTACTCAGGTCCAGGCCTTCCGTCCCTGTCTCAGCAAGAGGGCCTCGGAGAGAAAAACGGCCTGGCACAAAAAGCCGGGCACAGGCCCAGGCTCAAAACGAGCTGGGCCAGAAATGTGAAACTGTATGCGCCAGAGGTCTGGATAGGACAAAGTCCTGGAAACTCCTCTAGACCAGGACAGAGTGAACTGGCAACAAAGAAAACCGTACTGACGTACAGAATATGCAGAAATCAAAGTCGAAGCAAACCAGTGCTAGTCCCCCGGATGGGCCGGGAGCCTGCCGGTCGGACCGGGCGGTCCACCGGCCCAGAAGCCCCCTGTCCAAACCAGCCATGAGGCTGGGATTGGGGGGTACCAGGGAGTCGCCGCCATCCCCGCGATTGCCCAACCCCACTTCTTCACAAGAACAGGCGGAGGATCCGCCGCCGATCTTCACAGATCAGCGGCGGAGAACCGCCGCATGCTTTTTTGAGGCTGCAGGGTCCAGTAGGACCCATTTGTCAATTTGGCATCGTGTGGCTCACCAGACCATGGACCACATGTATTTGGGAGGTCCTGCTGCTCGTCCACCCCGACCCGGGAAGAAAGCAGACTACAATTGATGTGGCTTAACTGAAGTTATATGCTTTTGCAACGTCCCTATGCTCTGGGGAAAGAGTTATGGGTTTGGGTTTCAGCTCGTGCAGTCAGTGTAACAATGTTGTCTGAGGTGCAAGCCCAAGAATGGACCTGACTCCATTACATGTATCTCCACAACATGTATCTGGACAGAGTGCCAGGCAAGCTACTTTCGGACTGAAGACCCACCGTATGGTAAAAAAAAAAAACCGAATACGCTCCACCTGCACGAGCTGAGACCTAAACCCATAACTTTTTCGCTGTCAAGTCATACTCTGGAAGAGCTATAACTTTTAGCAAGGTCCTTCTACCAGCACATCTCGTTCAGCGTCTGGGGTACTGATATATGGTGACATATGCCATAGTACCCTTATGGTGCTGAATTGCAATTTCCGGGCCATGGAGGGGTCAGATAAGTGAGCTTGATTACTCGACCCCTCCCCCTGAAAGCTACATGCAAGGAAGATGAGCAATAGCGAACTTCAACAATCAAACAGCATCATATACACAAGACCAGATAGTCCTGACCTCGAACCAACAGCAGAATTGCATCACGAGTTTCACCAAATAAGAACACATCAAGAGCTCATAATTGACAATGCTGAAATAGTCCCATCAT